GGCATTTGTTAGAGGATTGAAGTGCAACAGTGAGTCTAAGCAGGAGAAATTGTGAAGAGGATGCTGAAGACTCAAAGTCAGTATTGTGGCCATAAAATATGTAGCTCGTATCACAAAAGACAAGAGAGAAGATATGAAACACAGTTTCTTGTTTAAGTCTATCATCTATCTATCTATCTATCTATCTATCTATCTATCTATCCTCTCTCTCTCTCTCTCTCTCTCTCTCTCTCTCTCTCTCACACACACACACACACACACACACACATCTATTATCTACCTATTCTTGACCTAAGCATTGTATCATACATGCATGATCCCATCACTAGGGAGGTGGAGGTAGGAGGACTAGGATTCTAAGCTGTCTTTTTATTAAGGTAATATAAGACAAGAAGACATAAAAATGAGATCAGGATGTGGATGGGAGGGAGAGCAGAAAAAGGGTATATGGGGGTAGGGGAAAGAGCAGGGCCAGAAAATATTACATATATAAATATGATGCCGACAAAGAATAAATTCATTAAAAATGAATCAAGTAAAGAAAGTCTTTAAGGGGGCTGGAGAGCAGGCTCAGCAGTTAACAGCACTTCCGTTTTTCCAGACAACCAGGGTTTGATTCCACGTATTTGATTCCCACTTTGATCCCATTTAGGGTGGTTCATCAGAACCTACAATTCAAGCTCCAGGGATCTCTGATGCCCTTCTGCCTTCTGCTGATACCTGTGTGCATACGTGTACACACACACATACACACACACAGAGAGAGAGAGAGAGAGAGAGAGAGAGAGAGACAGAGAGACAGAGAGACAGAGATACAGAGAGATCTTTGAAAATAATGAAATAGAAAAAGAAGAAAATGGTGTTAAAATAGCCACAGATCTTCCCTTAAGTCCTGAGCTCCACTCCCCTCCCCAATAAATTTCATTTCATGTTTTCTGGTTGTCCTTTCATATTTCTAAATGGTTTGTTAGCCTAGTAATTATTATTTAGCTATCTTAAACAATACTCACGAACTTTGGGTGATCATAATTGAGGATGTGATTAGCTTTCTTACACAGACACATTCCCAGTCTCTCTCTCTCTCTCCGCACTTCCCATAAGCGGTTTTATTGCAGTTTGATTAACTCCATTGTGGATATTATATTGATTATACTCACACAAGAATGAAGTAGTATTCTATCATGTATTTCCTTTCTGATACAACACTTTGTTTTTCCTGGAGTTTGTAAGGTACTTTTAAATGTTATGTAGTATTTCGAACACAAACTAAATTATTCAAAACTGCCTTCAAATGTTCTCTTAAAATGTGGCAGTCAGAGCAGTTTAATTGCTGAAACAACCTCAAAATCTCAATATCATTATACAAGTTTACTTCTTGCTCATGTCATAATTCAGAAGTACCAGCTGGGATTTCTTTGGCTACAAGCTTTCGGGGTCATAACTTTTTTTCTTTAGAAACTTTATTGTTGCCAAAAGTGGCGCTGAAGGCCTTAGCACTTGGGAGGCAAAGGCAGGAAGACCTCTGAGTTCAAGGCTAGCCTGGTCTACAGAGTGAGTTCCAGGACAGCCAGAGTAACAAAGAGAAACCCTATCTCAAAAAGAAAGAAAGAAACTTTACTCCCTTGTAGGGTTTCAGAGCCCTTCCTTCTCTAATGCACCTGAATGCTATCAAGAAAAAAAGAATAGGTGTGGGAGGGAAGGGAGGCTCCCAAGAGCCATGCTATGGATGCAGCCTAGCAGTGATGTTGATCACATATGTCGGGTACCCTTGACAAGAACTCAACTGAATGCTCCACAGCGCGCAGGGAGCTCAGAAAGAATTCTAGAGGGATGCTCCGGAGAGCAGAAAGGATCTGGCGAGCACAGCGGCTAATTTCTCAGTATGCAGGTACCAACCCTCCTGCCTTCTTTCTTTTGATTGGAGATAGAGCTACTTTGAGCCTTCCTCCTCCCCGGGCCTGCTTCATGAGAGCTCTTCTGAGCAACTGTGATTTCTCTCTCGTGTTGGACTTGACTTTTCTGGGTTTCACTCACCTCTTCTTGATTTATCGACTTCTTTTGAGGAAGCTGTTTTTCAGATGGTCCATGGAAGAATGAGTAATTTTGAGTGCCTGAAAGCATGAAAATGCCATTGTTTACAGGGCTAGCAATTCATCTGGGCATGCAATTCTAGATTCAAAATAAACTGGTTTTTAAGATGGAAGGGCATTCAAGGAAACATCTATGTTTGCTATTATTCTTGGGAAATTCAATATAGCTTTTTTCCTGTGTAAATGATTTGACCTGTGGCTCTGGAAGACATGTTAATTATTTGTGGGTTACTAATAACTCAGAGTGATGTGTATTTGCTAGTGAGTGTAAAGGGACTTTTGATCTCACCAGCTCATAGTCTTTCTTTGTGGAATTTTTAGAGCATTATTTCCTTTCTGTCACCTTTCCATCCCTTTCTGCACAGAAAAAAAACTCATCTTCTAGAACTCTCTAGAATTGATTTTGGTCACTTTTTTTTTCTCCAACATTTTATGTAGCTGTTGCTCTGCTTCACTGAAGATTGTTTTCTTTGTTGCTCTACTTCGCTGAGGACTGACTTCTTTGTTGTTCACCCACACTAGAAGCCCAGTCAAAGGGCCTGTGTTCAGCTCACAGTAAGCCACCTCTGACTCTTATTTGCATTCTCTGGAAGACTGGAGGCTGGAAGAAGCAGAAGAAGGAAGTCGGTTGATTACATGGCAGTGGGGAGGGAACTTCAGGTCCAAGCAGTCTGTGTACGTCTCTAACCAAGCCCTATGCTCCACCACTAGTCGCCAGCCTGTGCCAGTATTTCTGCTGTATAAAGTCTCCGCCTTCTGGCTTTTGCAGGGAGAAGGGCTGATAACCATGTCTTTAACTCTGCCCGCAGACAGGCACCGTGTAAACTGCTTCTCTAAGGCTATACCTGTCTCCAACTGGTTGACCGTCTTTACAAGAATCCATTGCAATTGTGTCTTTTCTCTCTTATTTTATTTTTTATGGTTTAAAGGCATTGTTAGAAGTTCATAATTGATCTCTTTTTGTGTTCAGGGAGTTTGAGGAGGATAAGACATGGGTGATGAACTTGCCCTTTTAGCTAGAAGTTTCCCAACTACAATGGTATCTGCATATACATCAGTGATGTTTTGTTGAATGAGACAGAAATTTTATCTGTTTAATTTGTGTCACATAAGCCCCAGGCACAAAAGAGCCTTTAAAATTATTACCTTCACACATTTTTTTCTTCCTGTCAAAAGAGTCAAAACAATTTTTATGAGTCAAAGGATATTGGAGGTCGAGAAGACGGCTCAGTTTTTAAGAGCACCTGTCACTCTTTCTGAGGACCTGGGCAGGCTTTGGTCCCAGTACCCACATGGTGCCTCACAACCATCCATGGTTCCAGTTCCAGGGGCAGATGATGTCCTCTTCTGACCCTACAGAGAACCAGGCATGCACCTGGTGCACATGCATACATGCAGGCAAAAGGCAAAACACTCATATACAGAGAATAAAATCAACGAATATTTTTTAAAGTTTTTCAAATTAATACTTGGGAAGGATAGGGTAGATTAAAGGCTACTAAAATAGTATATGCAGGCAATGGTTCTATAAATTAAAAAAAAATGTGACCAGGCATTGTTCTAGACTACTGACTCTCATTAACTATACAAATCCCATCCCTCGCCCTGCTCCATCCTCCATTTTTCTCTCCTTTTGGGACGACCTCGCTATAGGAAGCCTGGTCTGACTAGAAACTCACTTTACAGCCCCCACTAGCGCTAATATTTTTGTCTTCAAGGAAGGTACATCTTTGTGCTTGGTCTGTGGTTCGGGCCTTCTGCAAGAAATTCTCCCCAGCAGCAGACTTTAAACCCTGAAGCATAGGGTCAGGGATGAGTTAAAGAATTAAAGCTTAAGTCATCGTCTCCCTAACTCTAACGTGAGCGTAAGCAACAGGTTTGGAACTATTTTCTTGGCGAAGGAATATGTCAAATGCTATTCTTCGTATTCAGTCTTGTATACCTTAACCGTGAGTCCGAAAACATAGGGATGTCAGAGTATGTCCAAAATGTAATACCCAAGGGCTACACAGGACCTACACTTAATGGGGAAAACCAACGTGTTTTTTAGTATAGGACTTGCCACATACTGTGAATTTAATAAATACTAGTTTAGTGGCTGTATTTATTATTTGGTTTGGCAGTAACTCATTAGTTCTCAAATGGCTTTAGGAAGGAGGGATTCCAGTGGCGTGGATTGATTGTGTATTCCTATGGCTGTGTCCTAACTTTAGAAATTCAGTTTCCTTCCAATTTCCATCTATTCGGTAGCCCTTGCTCTGGGAGGCTACACACACACACACACACACACACACACGCACGCACGCACGCACGCGCGCGCGCGCACACACACACACACAGACACACACACACTGCTCCAAGCTCTTTGAATGAGGTGTCAACGCAAAGCCAGAAAAATAAGTCAATGAAAACGAGCGGGGGGGGGGGGGGGGGGGGGGGGCAGGAGACTCCACCAGCAGCCAAATGTGTTTCTTTTTTTTTTTAATGGTCTATGGATCTAAATATTTCTCTTTTTTTCTTTTTTTAATTTATTTATTTATTAAAGATTTCTGTCTCTTCCCCGCCACCGCCTCCCATTTCCTTCCCCCTCCCCCAATTAAGTCCCCCCCCCCCTCAGCCCGAAAAGCAATCAGGGTTCCCTGTCCTGTGGGAAGTCCAAGGAACCCCCACCTCCATCCAGGTCTAGTAAGTTGAGCATCCAAACTGCCTAGGCTCCCACAAAGCCAGTGCGTGCAGTAGGATCAGAAACCCATTGCAAATGTGTTTCTTATTGCAGCGGTTGAGTCACTAGCCAGACTGGCCCGAGGTGAGCCAGGCACGTCCGCGTTACGACTCAGAGACACGCCTTCTTCTCACACAAACCTTCCTGATCCCAGCCGCCTAGGCGGACTCCCGGGTGGTGCTACCAGCCCTGCCACTCGCAGTCCGGACTGGCAGAGGTTGGGGACTGCCTGGCGTTGCACCGACTAGGAGCCACAGGTTGCAGACGCAGGGAGCCCTGCCCATGACAGTGGTTCTGTGAGGCTCCGGGTGCGCGGTGGCTGCTGGTGGGTCCCGGAGCTCGGGAAGATCGGAGCGGCCCTGAAACCAGACACCAGCGCCCTCGCTGTGGCTGTTCCTCCGGCTGGTGAGTTGGGGAAGGCCGGCTGGCCGTTGGAATTCTGTCCCACCCACTCTGGGTGCCCGCAGCGTTTCAGGGAAAGGGGGCATCGCGGAGGCCCCGCGCCTGCAGCCTTCCATCTGTTCCCTGCAGAAAGCCTAGCGAGCCAAACCTGGGGGCTTGCCGCTCCTGCTCAGATGGCCCCCATAAACTCGATCTACCCTTTTGCTTTGGTGTGTGCCTATTCTATAGCTGCTTGGAACAAAAATCAAACCCAAACAAGAACACAGGACAGAGACATGTCATCTGTATCAAAATAAATAAATAAATAAAAGTAAAAACTATTATTATCAGCAAGAAGAGTGGTTGGTATGCAGAGAGAAAGGACCCAGGGAGGCTTGCCAGGCAAGACACAGGGCTTGTCTCAGCACTTCCTTGAGATGAATCAGCCACAGAAAGTGAAGTAAGCTTTCTGTGCTCCAGTCTTGGCCCCATTACTTTCAAATTCCGATCAAAGTTTTGCATCTAGAGAGTGGGTGTGTGGAGAGAGGGAGTGTTATTGCCATAGGTCCCACTTCCAAGATTTTCCCGGCTGCAACATTATCGTTCTAAGTCTCCGAAAACTATCGACTAGGGTGATGTCTAAGCAGGAATGGCCTTCCTCGGTAGAAGCTGCATTTGGTTAAAGCCTGCACACCTGTAACATGCTTGCCAGCTTTCTGCAACGCGATCAAAACTAAGGCTGTGGAACTCCAGTCTAAATGCATGTAGTTACAGGGTTATTAGCAAAGACGTGGATTTTGATGTGAGTCTGCTTAAGAGAATCCTCACAGTTCTCAATATTTAGTTATAGTCATATTTACTTTCGTATGTGTACAAGCTACTGGTTAATGGCTGTAACTTTCATAAAGTAGAAAAGATGGACATTGGTATTATATTATTACAGGTGGATAAGTCCACTGGCTTTTCAGGCTACTGTAAAGCTCAGTTTGAAGTAATCAAACGAGAGAAGCGCTTTTCCGATTCCACCCTGCCCACTCGCAGGGCAATTTTTCATAGTTTCCAAAGGTAATTCCTTACCCACAGGAGAACACTATTCTTACCAGCAGGAACTTCTGTGGATCATCACAAGGCGCACACTTGCCAGAGACTCTAACGTTAAGGAGATGTCTCTGATTAAGGACTGCCTACGAACTCCCTGGCTCCCTTACTATCATTGCTGCTAAATGGAAAGCAAAACATTTCCGATGAAACTGGATAAGCCTGTTCTCATCTTTGCCAAGTGGCAATAAAAGAATCTGTCAAATGCAAGCAAACCACGGCTCTCCCTCCCCATAGGTCATTTCTAGAACAGACATGTTTGACCTGATAAGGAAGGTAACCGCGGTAAAGTTATCCTCTTAACTCATGGTGTACCACATTGTACTTCTGTCGTCCAGTTTCTGCTTCCTCTAGAAACAGGGATGTCAAGGTTCCAGGTCCATCAGTGCTGGCATCTGCTGATTTCCCCCATTGGAGAAAGCTGGTGTTTGACTTTCAGCCTAGATCAGTAGTTCTCAACATTTCTAATGCTGTGACCCTTAAATAGAGTTCCTTATGTTGTGGTGAGCATAAAACTATTTTCATTGCTACTTTGTAACTGTAAATCTGCTACTGTTGTGAATTGTAATGTAAACATCTGTGTTTTCCGATGGGCTTAGATGACCCTGTGAAAGAGCCATTCAATCCCCAAAGGGTTTGCGATCCACAGGTTGAGGAACTCTGGCCTAGTAGAGCATTGACGGCACACTGACCATTCACATAAAGCTCGTCTCATAATGAGTCTGGTTTCTTGTGTTGATTCATTGAGGCTGGTTAACCAATACTTCAGCTCTGAAGCAATTGCTGGTAATGCTGAGATACAGGAGAACAATTCCAATAAAAAGAGACAGGGCCAACCAGATGCTGGACGTAATTACTTGCAAAGATGCCCTTTAAAGGAAGATGATTGGCCTTCTTCATGGCTAGGTGTAGAAGGTACGGTGTGGATGGATGTTCTGTTGATGCAGGAAACGGCAATATCACTAGATGGACCTGCTCTTGGCACTATGTACTTGACTGATTTCAGTTTCCTTTTGGTCATTAATGATGTCCTTCAAGTGCTGAGCTTCTCCCCTCAGCCCTCCTTAAATAAGTGGAGGACTAGTGTGTCTAATAGTTTTCCGTTTAATAAATAATTAAAAGAATTCCTTCATAAATTCAATGTTTTCAACTTGTTCAATACCTTGAGAAAATAATATATTCAGTTGCTTGTTCATTTATTCAAAAAATATTTCTAAATAGCAGCAAGGGCTGTTATAGGCTCTATAGACAGACACGGACAAAATAAGCAGGCATCCCTAACCCTGTGGATCTTACTACTTATCTGGGGACAAAGAGCTGACAAAATGAACAGGTTACCTCTATGACACATGAGTCACAGGTGCTAAAGAGAAATAGGGTAGAGGGCAGGAAAGAGATATTCCATAAGTTTCGGGAGTGTGGGGGTGGGGGCAGGAGTGCCAGATTAAGTACCAGTGCATCCTACTGAGAAGCTATTTCAGTGTCTATCTGGAGCAGGTGAGGGAGTGAATCTCTGGAGATTATTCCAGACTGAACATCCAGAGAGCTGGGATTTGCCAGTCAAGTTCCCTGGGTGAGGCACTAATAGGGCCAGGTCAGATATGGCTTTGAAGATGCTAATAAATAGTTGACTTTGAGTTTTCATTTTGGGTGGAATGAGAAAAAGCTATACTAAATAGCCTGTGAAACATTTTCCAACAAATCCTCGCCTAGCACTTTATAAGCATTAATATTCTTCTAAGTATCATGGGTAAGAGATGTTAAAAAGACAGAGGACTCTGCCGTGGACACATTCCATCATAGGGTGGAGAGAGAGAAGCGAACAAATTAATAATCCTATAAGATTTAATATTATTAAAGAAAGCATGGTAAAATATTACACCGGTCAGGAAGAGCCTTGAGGAGAGACATAGTTTTATATATATATATATATATATATATATATATATATATATATATATATTTAATATATCTGTAGAGTATGATGGTTCAATATATGCTTACACTTGTGTTTCTTTTTGAGTGAATTCTATACCCATGTGTTCTACCATCTTTGAATGAAAGTATTTGAAGTCAAATTGCCCCTGTATGGAGAATATGTATGACTTTTTTCACCATGATTTCCTCAGCAATCTATTGTAACAGATATTTAGACATCCTTCACACTGCATTGATTATGACTATTACAGAGATGGTAGAAGGTATAGATTTAAAATATGTAATGCTTGTGCAGGCTATGTGCAAATATTATATAATTGGGTATAAAGATTGATGCTTCTATGTATGCAAATATTCTCAGGGGCCTTTAAATTAATCACCTGTGGGAGCAGGGGGACACTATGAACTCATAAAATCGAGCTATTTCCCATGCTTAGCTCTTCAAAAACTTATTATGTCTTTGTTATGGAAGTATTGTATAGCTAATGAGGTGATTTTTCGTAGAGCTATCTCTCTGGCTTCCTTGAAGACAGTGAATGTAATTTGACACAATACAGGAAAGGACAGCAGTAATGCTCCTCAAATTGACCAGCCATGGCAGCATGGCAGCAATGTAGATGAACATTGGAACTGCAGACCAAAGGAGATCCATTCAGAAAGTACTTAAAGGAGAGCTTATTGGATGTACTAATGAAACAGGTAAATTTTAGTAATGGTGGAAAGAAAGACTGAAAATGGTCATCAGAATACATAAAGAACAACTTGGGTAGATGATAATGCAGTTTCTTAAGACTGGTAGTGAAGGGTAAGAAAACGGTTTAAGAGGGAGGTAAAGATTCTGCTACCAATGGTCTGGGTGGAAACAGCCACTTGGGCTTTTCTTTCTGTAGATATACAACATTTAGAAGTCATAAGCCAACACATAGATAATCCCAAGGTTTTCAGGACATTAACTGGAGAGAGCTAGGGTGAGACGGAGATCTAGATGGTAAATCCGATCTGGGGCTTGACTTGACGTGGCAGGGTCTTGAAACAGGAAGCTTCAGAAAACTAACCTGATAGGACAGCTGTCAGCCGACACTGTCATTATGAACACGAGACAGGAACTCTTACAGAACGGCCAGGGGTGCCAGATGTACTGAGATAAAGACTGAGATGAGAAACGCGTGATGATGCATGGTGGTTTAGTGACATGGGAAACTTTGGCAGGAGATGGACTTCTCCAAATAGCATGTTCACATAAACTAACAGAAAAGTTTGAAAGTGGCTCTCCACCTAATCCTAAGAGAAAATGAAATTAGAAGGCACCAGGAAAACTTAGGAGCTGCATTCAGATTCTAGTTAAATTAATTTTAAAATGTGCATGTGGGGCAAAGATGTACTTACAGAGGTGTGAGAAATAAAATTGATCAAAATAAATTAGGTTGGTACTGCCTTATACAATTGTTTAATATTCAAATATGGCAAAACCATTTTAGGGAGGTAAAGCTGTTTTTTTGGAAGGCAGATATAGGCTCAGGCCTTGGTGATTTACAACAGTTAAGTTTACTCTGTCATTATAAGCAAACTTTGCCAGTCCTGGACAGTGCGTGTAAGTAAAAAACATGACAATCCATCTAAGACTATGACTTTCTCCCATTGATGCTACTGATTGTTCAAACACTCTACTCTATAGCTCTGGACCTGGAGAGTCTACACATCTTGCTATGTATTTATTTCCTTCTATTTTTCCTTTCCTTTCCCAAATTCCATGTCTGTGTCTATCCATTTAAGGTATAGAGAGGGCAAGGTAAAAAGAATGGGAGAAATACCATATTTCTTCACTCTAATTTTGGCAAGGTAATCAGGACCTGGGAAGTGTATTATAATGATTCGATACTTGGTCATGACTTGGAGTACATTGTTTTCATCAATAAAACATGTTGTAGACAAATAAATATATATGGCCATGTCCAAATGCATAAAATATGGAATAAAATTAGATTTTT